GACCTTATTTCCTGGGTTTCACTTACACAGCCTGACTTTAAAATCCAGAAATGATGATTTTCTGGATAACTGGATGACGCTGCCACCAGTCTTTGTCCTCTGCTCATCAGATCTGCTGCAGTGTGTTACTCTGCATCCTGTGCTATGAATATATACCATGTGCATATTACACTTTTTAGGACGTCTGCCTTCTTCACACTTTTTACTGATATTTATGTTTATTCCTAAAATATGTTCCAGCTCATTTGAAACATTAATCCATACATTGGCCAACTCAGAACTATGATAGGGTGGGCAGGACCCCCCACAGTGCATTCCTAGATGCCGATGAGCTTGGCCTTGGCATCACACACATGGAGAGCAGCTCTCCGGCCCAATCCTTATCCCAAACTTTGCCTTGACAAAGAGAAGCCTTTAGTCTCCATCCTGCTGCCCTGCAGCCCAGCCAGAGCTGAGGTGTCTGGTTATGCAGAGTCATTGTCCCAGAGATTACAATTAAATCCCTGTAGGATGAATTTCAACCCTGCCTGCTGGATTTGCAGAGATTAACTGCAAAGCACCTTAGCTCTGTCTCTGAGCTGGAGTTTCATTAGTGTAGAGTTGAAAATTCCAAAGAGGCACTGAAACTGGACAACCTGACACTGCCTTAATCACCTTCCACTGTAAACTGGCATAAGCCAATTAACTTTACAGGCAGAAAGAGGCTAAGCTGGTGTAACAGCAGCCTGCAACCTGTAAGAGCTGCTGCAGCATTGGCTGCCTCCTAAAATCCACCATCCTCCACAATCAGGAAATATCTGCAGTCGGTATTTATTTCCTTACTTCACATATCACACCTCAATTCCCCCTTCTGCCTGTGAGAAAAACAGGAGCATTAGAAAGACCAGAAACTGAGGCTTTTCTTACCAGCCTGTACGATCACTGCATCTAGTTCTGGTACACAGGGATTGCTTTTTGGAATAACTTTCTGTATGATCACCTTATTTTGATATTTTTAACACCGGGAGCTTTAACTTGAAGGAAAGATCTCAGTGGGAACTGGTCTGGAGGCTGTGGCAGAACAGCACAAAGGGAGCTCCAAAAGTAGAGCAGTGGCAAATAAAGAGGGTTTAAACACTTGGTTTCCCTGCATAACTGAGTGGGGAAAAAGTTAAATAACAGCCAAGCCAGGAAATCAAACTTCCTAGGGTAGAGAGCAGCTTTTCTAATAAAATCCCCGTGTCCTGCAGCTGTAAAACAGAGCTGGGCAGTATTTAGTATGCAAAGCACTGCCTGGCATTCAAAACACCTTCCAGCTACTTTGCAGCACTTGGAAAACTGTTTAGTTAAGAAGGAACCAAGAGCACAGTAAATTTGTGGAATAGCAGGTGACAGTGTCAGTGAATCAGCCTGGTGCTGGTTATATGATCAGGTCTGGATTTACAGCTTCAGTTCTGTCATTTTTGGTTGGGTTTGAAATAAAGCTGTTGCACTGCCATCATTCTACTGACATGTGATGCTCCAGCAGGAGTTTTCAAGCTTTTATTCATGTAATTAAAGAGTCAGACTCACTATGTGGGAACAACATCCAGGAAACCTGGCACAGGGACCAAAACAAGGCAGGGAGGCAATGCTGGATGCCAAGTGAGGATGGCAAACCCAACAATCTCTGCTGCAGTTTGCTTATATAAATGCAAACTTAAAAAAGAAGATAAACACTCCTTAATCTCACAACTCCAAACTGAGTTGCTGCCAGTCAAAAATAACTACTGAGTTACATATTAACCACTCCAGGTGGAGACAGAACTAAAACTCACTCTAGCATCCTTTATTTTTACTTTTAAAACTGACAATCATCAGCGGTGGCCCTCAGGTCTCTCCTGTGTTTCCAGAGGACCATTCAGCCAGATCTTAACACCACATGGTTTTAAAGTATTCATCCAATCACCTCTTAATCCCAAGGACCAGAAATGCAGTTTTCCAGCACTTGTTTTCTCTATATTTTTCACACTGAGTCTTTCCCTGAGTCCTGGCTGCTGGAATCAGGAGATCCCCAAGAGCCCCAGCACTCAGACAAAACCACAGGCTCCAGGAATGAGTCTCCATGTGCTGTTCCTTGTTCTGCTGGACACTTTCTTACCAGTTAACAGCACTTGTCCATCCTTTTCTTTGAAGTGCTGGCAACTTCCAGTTACCTCACATTTACTCTGAAGAAACAGGATTTTCATAGACTCTTCCTTAACTACACTGTAGTAACCACTAGGAACTAATATTTGCAATTACAGGGGAAAACCACAAAGCAAGCATCCCTTAGCCATTCCAGAACAGGAAGGCTAGCACAAAAAAGATGTCTTACAATTTTATTAAAAACTCCTATCTTGCACTTGCTAAAGAAACCCTCTGGTTTTAGTCACCTCATTTCTTGAGACTGGATGGTTTCGCCCTTGTTAAGTTTGGCAACACTCGCACTGCCTTACACCAAATGTAGTCAATAACTGTACCTCAGGTTTTCAGTGGCTCTGTACTCTGCAGATCATCCCCCTGAACCTCCTCTGGTTACTTATTCAGGCTTTACCTGCTGTCCCTTTATTAACCCACATATTCTTCCACATGTTCTTCCTCCACCTCCCATTTTCCCTGCCTTTTGAGCAAAGTCTCTCCCAGCACTTTGAATTCACGTGGACAAAATGCTCCGAGGCAAAGTGCTGTTGGCAAGGGCGCCCCTTGGGACCCACTGCAGCTCTGGCAGCGAGCTCAGCCCTGCACGTACGTGAGTGTCTGCACACCCTCCCAAAACATCTCCTCACCCCCCAGCATGGCTCTGCCTCCAGGCCTCTCCTTACTCCTGGGATGGAGCTGAGGTGCAGATGATGGAGAACTCGGTGCTTGGAAAGCTGCCACATCTCACCAGGGCCTGGCTGCACATCCAGAAACCTACACAAACACTTCATCCTAGAGAACAAGTTTCCCATTCTGCTTATTCACAGTGATCCATAGGGATCCTGTCCGTGTGTGCAGTCGGGCATGGAAGCTGCATGTTCCAACTCCAACCCCTTCCTAGAACAAAAAAAATAAACCAGTGTCTGCTGCTTTTCCATCAGGGAAGGCTGCACTATCCACCACTTCCAGAGGTGCACAGAGCAAGGCTGGTGCTGCTCAGGGATGCTGGAATAGAGAACCACACATCACAAAAAAGCAAATTTCTACATGGCTTAACCCCCCCCCCC